TGATGCCCATAGCAGATTCACAGGAAATATCCAAATTGAGCTTTCTGCTATAAGGAATGTGAGCACATGCAATACAGTGTCTAAATATGCTCAACTGTAATCAGCTGTAAGATTCTGTAGGCAACATACAGTTACAGTTACACCATGGCGGTGAGCAGAATTTTAACATCGGGTACACTTGATCTGTTAATATACGATCATGATACAAATAGATATATGGTGAATGGTATTTATCGTATTCATTTTTTTTTCAATACTTGTTCAACGGTATTAGATTTGTCAAGTAGTGCATTTGGTACATGTGCACTACGGATAGGGACAATCTGTGACAAGAGGGTTGCCAGAAAGAAAATTGCTTGATACTGTGTTCTCCCGGGAGGCGCAGGAGGCACGGGGAGGGGGGAGCCCTCCCCACCGGGAGAACACAGTAGTTATTGGAAGCAGCTATTGCCGCTGGCATAAATGGCATGCAAAATCCAATAGGCTGGTTGTACCCAAGTCACAAAACAATCGATTTGGGTACAATGAGCCTACCCATAGATAGCATGAATCTTGGCCGGTTTCTGCTGAACCATCCCAGATTCGAATCATCTATGGCCTTCTTTAGTTTGATATGAGCTAACAAAGTCCATTGTTGTCACCGCTATTTTCATATTACAGTGCAAAGTGCAATGACTTTGTGCAAAGTGCATTAATCCATAGTAATAACTTGTATTATCTGGATTCTGTATGACGATTTAATGTTGGTAGCTATGGGTAAGTCTCTTTTTCACATAGTGTTCACAGTCTCCACATTTACTAGAATCTATGGCACTAATTCATTAGATTTTTGTTGACTGAAATATAAATCAGTACATTACGATCACTAATTCCTAATGGGTATTTAAACATTTATTTTTTAATAATGGCTCATCCCTTTGCTATGGTTACCTGTACTATTTGTGGAAGTCCACATTTTATATAGACAATCCATTTCTTCATATTATGATAGATATAGGGATATTTGCGTGTTATAAAGTTCACTTAAAGGTAAACCTGTCAAAAACCTGAGCAAGTCAGACTAAACATATGATGAAAAAAACAGGCACAAGCAGAGGTTATCTTTAGTGAATACTGCAAGTCAAAATAATCAGTATTTCCAAAAATACTGGCAGCTGAAGTTATATCCAATGCCTTCTCTGTTAAAGGCAGTCTCCCAAGTTCTAACCCTCTCAATGGTCAGTGATGCCAATAGGGAGCTTGGAGGAGACAGTGACCAAGGTTGGGTTTTAAAGAAGTCAAAACTTCAATCTTCTATACAGTCATGGCCGAAATTGTTGGCACCCTTGATATTTCTCCAGGAAATCATGTATTTCTCACGAAACGTATTGCATTAACACATGTTTTGCTATACACATGTTTATTCCCTTTGTGTGTATTGGGACAAAACAAAAAAAGGGAGGAAAGAAAGCAAATTCGACATAATGTCACACAAACCTCCAAAAATGGGCTGGACAAAAGTATTGGCACCCTTTCACAACTGCGGATAAATAAGAATGTTACAAGCATGTGATGCTCCTGTAAACTCACCTGGGGCAAGTAACAGGTGTGGGCAATATAGAAATCACACCTGAAAGCAGATAAAAAGGAGAGACGTTCACTTAACCTTTGCATTGTGTGTCTGTCTGTGCCACACTAAGCATGGACAACAGAAAGAGGAGACGAGAACTGTCTGAGGACCTGAGAACCAAAATTGTGGTCCCCCCCCCACAACAATCTCAAGGTTACAAGTCCATCTCCAGAGAACTAGATTTGCCTTTGTCCACAGTGCGCAACATTATCAAGAAGTTTGCAACCCATGGCACTGTAGCTAATCTCCCTGGTCGTGGACGGATGAGGAAAATTGATGAAAGATTGCAACGCAGAATAGTCCGGATGGTGGATAAGCAGCCCCAAACATGTTCCAAAGACATTCAAGCTGTCCTGCAGGCTCAGGGAGCATCAGTGTCAGCGCGAACTATCCGTCGACATTTAAATGAAATGAAACGCTATGGCAGGAGACCCAGGAGGACCCCACTGCTGACACAGAGACATAAAAAAGCAAGACTACAGTTTGCCAAAATGTACTTGAGTAAGCCAAAAGCCTTCTGGGAAAACGTCTTGTGGACAGATGAGACCAAGATAGAGCTTTTCGGTAAAGCACATCATTCTACTGTTTACCGAAAACGGAATGAGGCCTACAAAGAACAAAACACAGTACCTACGGTAAAATATGGTGGAGGTTCAATGATGTTTTGGGGTTGTTTTGCTGCCTCTGGCACTGGGTGCCTTGACTGTGTGCAAGGCATCATGAAATCTGAGGATTACCAAAGGATTTTGGGTCGCACTGTAGGGCCCAGTGTCAGAAAGCTGGGTTTGCGTCCAAGATCCTGGGTCTTCCAGCAGGACAATGACCCCAAACATACGTCAAAAAGCACTCAGAAATGGATGGCAAAGAAGCGCTGGAGAGTTCTGAAGTGGCCAGCAATGAGCCCAGATCTAAATCCCATTGAACACCTGTGGAGAGATCTTAAAATTGCTGTTGGGAAAAGGTTGTCCTTCCAATAAGAGAGACCTGGAGCTGTTTGCAAAGGAAGAAGTGGTCCAAAATTCCGGGTGAGAGGTGTCAGAAGCTTATTGATGGTTATAGGAAGCGACTGATTTCAGTTATGTTTTCCAAAGGGGTGTGCAACCAAATATTAAGTTAAGGGTGCCAATACTTTTGTCCAGCCCATTTTTGGGGTTTTGTGTGACATTATGTCATATTTGCTTTTCTGCCTCTGTTTTATATTTGTTCCAATACATACAAAGGGAATAAACATGTGTATAGCAAAACATGTGTTAATGCAATACCTTTTTTGTGTGAAATACTTGATTTCAGGAAAAATATCAAGGGTGCCAACAATTTCGGCCATGACTGTATGTGGGTAGGTGCAGTGTGGTTCAGCGGTAGTGATGATACAGAGTCCAGTTGCAGGAAATCCAAAACTTGTATTGAAGAGAATGTTTAACTTACAAGCAGCCTAGCAGGAGAACTCTCCACCAGGAAACATTCAAGTTTTGTGTAACTCAGAAATGCAGTAGGTAAGATGCATTGACAGCGTCTTTCTCAGAGGGTGGAATGCAGCCTGGCCAGTCTGGTCTCAATGGAGAGATGGCATGTCCCTAACCTGTCCCTACTCATCAGGAACCTCTCCCTGAGGCTAATCACTTTCCCCAACAGACAAAACTCTTTTCCTACTCTATGTAATTTCACAAAGGTGCACCAAAACCCTGGGGGTAGGGCCTTAAATTGACTCTGCTGACCAAGATGGCCTCCAGGGGTCACCTGAATGCAGCATACCCAACTGGAACACTGCCTCAGGGGCCAGGAAAATGTAGGGAAACCAGGTTTCTCTTGACTTCCTCTCCGGATGCCATGCTGCTCCAGTTGAGCACCACCTACAGTGGAGAAAAAAGACTGCACCTGCCTACATATATATTTTGGATCCACTAACTGTTTGGACATGCAGTTTTTTTCGAATAAAAGTGTTCTGCTTGTGAAACTTATTTTATCATATGTCAGTCTAAACTCCCAGGTTTGTGACAGGCTTATATTTCAGGCTAGATATTATTCATTACAATTCAGTTTTGAAGCCTACTCCCTCTACTATAGCTGCCCTCTACTATTGTCAACGCACTGAGCTCTAGAGGATCCAACAACACTGTCTATTTGCAAGATATGCAATTCAAATCATGACTTGATTGTTGAGAAGCATAGTCATAATAACTAGAGATGAGCGAAGAAATGAAAAAATTCGATTCGGCTGATTCGGCGAATTCCAGTGTGAAATTCGATTCGATGCGAATTTCTTCCGCTACGAAGATGACTTATTTAAAGGGTTTCTAGGCTTCAGAGAGCCTTTTAAATTAGTGCAGAACACTGTACCTTTAATTTAAATGCCCTTGGAGGATGAGGAAGGAGAAGGAGAAGGATGAGAAGAAGGAGAAGGATGAGAAGAAGGAGAAGGAGAAGGATGAGAAGAAGGAGAAGGATGAGAAGAAGGAGAAGGATGAGAAGAAGGAGAAGGAGAAGGAGAAGGATGAGAAGAAGGAGAAGGAGAAGGATGAGAAGAAGGAGAAGGAGAAGGATGAGAAGAAGGAGAAGGATGAGAAGGAGAAGGATGAGAAGAAGAAGGATGAGAAGAGAAGGGAAGGATGAGAAGAAGGAGAAGGAGAAGGATGAGAAGAAGGAGAAGGAGAAGGATGAGAAGAAAGAGAAGGATGAGAAGGAGAAGGATGAGAAGAGAAGAAGGATGAGAAGAAGGAGAAGGATGAGAAGAAGAAGGATGAGAAGAAGGAAAAGGATGAGAAGAAGAAGGAATGAGAAGAAGGAGAAGGTTGAGAAAGAAGGAGAATGATGAGAAGAAGGAGAAGGATGATAAGAAGGAGAAGGAAGAGAAGAAGGAGAAGGAGAAGGATGAGAAGAAGGAGCGGTATGAGAAGAAGGAGAAAGGATGAGAAGAAGGAGAAGGAGAAGGATGAGGAAGAAGGAGAAGGATGAGAAGAAGGAGAAGGATGAAAGAGAAGAAGGATGAGAAGAAGGATGAGAAGAAGGAGGAGAAGGATGAGAAGAAGAAGGATGAGAAGAAGGAGAAAGGATGAGAAGAAGGAGAATGATGAGAAGAAGGAGAAGGATGAGAAGAAGGAAAGAAGGGAGAAGGATGAGAAGAAGGAGAAGGATGAGAAGAAGGAGAAGGATGAGAAGAAGGAGAAGGAGAAGGATGAGAAGAAAAAGGATGAGGAGAAGGAGAAGGATGAGAAGAAGGAGAAGGATGAGAAGGAGAAGGAGAAGGATGAGAAGAAGGAGAAGGAGAAGGATGAGAAAGAAGGAGAAGGATGAGAAGAAGGAGAAGGATGAGAAGAAGGAGAAGGAGAAGCAGAAGAAGAAGGATGAGAAGAAGGAGAAGGAGAAGGATGAGAAGAAGGAGAAGGAGAAGGATGAGAAGAAGGAGAAGGATGAGAAGAAGGATGAGCAGAAGGAGAAGGATGAGAGAAAGGAGAAGGATGAGAAGAAGGAGAAGGATGAGAAGAAGGATGAGAAGAAGGGATGAGAAGAAGGAGAAGGATGAGAAGAAAGGACAGTTCTGTGACAGTTTCTGTCTATTTCTGACAGTTCTGGGACATTCACTCCCCTACAGCGGTTTCAACCGCTGTATGGAGGGAATGTCATAGAACTGTCAGAAATAGACTATTAATGACAGTTCTGGGACTGTCCTTCCATGCAGCGGTTGAAAACATTGTATGTATTTGTTTCCATAAATGGATCCATTTATGGAAACAAATACATACAATGTTTCAACCGCTGCATGGAAGGACAGTCCCAGAACTGTCATTAATAGTCTATTTCTGACAGTTCCATTGACATTCCCTCCATACAGCGGTTTTTTTTTTTTTTTTTAAAACTGCTGTATGCAAGTGAATGTCCCAGAACTGTCATAAATAGTCTATTTCTGACAGATCTGGGACATTCACTCATACAGCTGTTTTAACCACTGTATGGAGGGAATGTCATGGAACTGTCAGAAATAGACTATTAATGACAGTTGTGGGACTGTCCTTCCATACAGCGGTTGAAACATTGTATGTATTTGTTTCCATAAATGGATCCATTTATGGAAACAAATACATACAATGTTTCAACCGCTGCATTGAAGGACAGTCCCAGAACTGTCATTAATAGTCTATTTCTGACAGTTCCATGACATTCCCTCCATACAGCGGTTAAAAACAGCTGTATGCATGTGAATGTCCCAGAACTGTCATAAATAGTCTATTTCTGATAGATCTGGGACATTCACTCCATACAGCTGTTTTAACCGCTGTATGGAGGGAATGTCATGGAACTGTCAGAATTAGACTATTAATGACAGTTCTGGGACTGTCCTTCATGCAGCGGTTGAAACATTGTATGTATTTGTTTCCATAAATGGATCCATTTATGGAAACAAATACATACAATGTTTCAACCGCTGTATGGAAGGACAGTCCCAGAACTGTCATTATAGTCTATTTCTGACAGTTCCATGACATTCCCTCCATACAGCGGTTTTTTTAACAGCTGTATGCAGTGAATGTCCCAGAACTGTCTAAATAGTCTATTTCTGACAGATCTGGGACATTCACTCCATACAGCTGTTTTAACCGCTGTATGGAGGGGCTGATGTCATGGAACTGTCAGAAATAGACTATTAATGACAGTTGTGGGACTGTCCTTCCATGCAGCGGTTGAAACATTGTATGTATTTGTTTCCATAAATGGATCCATTTGTATGGAAACAAATACATACAATGTTTCAACCGCTGTAATGGAAGGACAGTCCCACAACTGTCATTAATAGTCTATTTCTGACAGTTCCATGACATTCCCTCCATACAACGGTTTTTAAAACAAGCTGTATGGAGTGAATGTCCCAGAACTGTCATAAATAGTCTATTTTTGATAGATCTGGGACATTCACTCCATACAGCTGTTTAACTCCGCTGTATGGAGGGAATGTCATGGAACTGTCAGAAATAGACTATTAATGACAGTTGTGGGACTGTCCTTCCATGCAGCGGTTTTTTGTGAAACATTGTATGTATTTGTTTCCATAATGAATCCATTTATGGAAACAAATACATACAATGTTTCAAACCGCTGTATGGAAGGACAGTCCCAGAAACTGTCATTAATAGTCTATTTCTGACAGTTCCATGACATTCCCTCCATACAGCGGTTTTTAAAACAGCTGTATGCAGTGAATGTCCCAGAACTGTCATAAATAGTCTATTTCTGACAGATCTGGGGTACATTCACTCCATACAGCTGTTTTAACCGCTGTATGGAGGGAATGTCATGGAACTGTCAGAAAACAGTGTAGACTATTAATGACAGTTCTGGGGACTGTCCTTCATGCAGCGGTTTGAAAACATTTGTATGTATTTGTTTCCTATAAATGGAATCCATTTAATGGAAAACAAATACATACAATGTTTCAATCCGCTGTATGGAAGGACAGTCCCAGAACTGTCATTAATAGTCTATTTCTGAACAGTTCCATGGACATTCCCTCCATATACAGCGGTTTAAATCAGCTGTATGCAGTGAATGTCCCAGAACTGTCATAAATAGTCTATTTCTGACAGATCTGGGACATTCACTCCATACAGCTGTTTTAACCGCTGTATGGAGGGAATGTCATGGAACTGTCAGTAATAGGACTATTAATGACAGTTCTGGGGACTGTCCTTCCATGCAGCGGTTTTTGAAACATTGTATGTATTTGTTTCCATAAATGGATCCATTTATGGAAACAAAATACACTACAATGTTTCAACCGCTGCATTGAAGGACAGTCCCAAGAACTGTCATTAATAGTCTATTTATGACAGTTCCATGTACATTCCTCCATACAGCGGTTAAAAACAGCTGTATGCAGTGAATGTCCCAGAACTGTCATAAATATGTCTATTTCTGATAGATCTGGGACATTCACTCCATACAGCTGTTTTAACCGCTGTATGGAGGGAATGTCATGGAACTGTCAGAAATAGACTATTAATGAAGTTTGTGGGGACTTGTCCTTCCATTACAGCGGTTGAAACATGTATGTTAATTTGTTTTACATTAATTGGATCCATTTATGGAAACCAAATACATACAATGTTTCAACCGCTGCATTGAAGGACAGTCCCAGAACTGTCATTATATAGTCTATTTCTGACAGTTCCATGACATTCCCTCCTTTCAGCGGTTTCTAAAAAACAGCTGTATGCAGTGAATGTCCCAGATTCCTGTCTTAAATAGTCTATTTATGACAGTTCTGGGAACATTCACTCCATACAGCGGTTTCAGCAAAAAGTGTTGTGCAGAGTTCCTCTATTCTGCAGATACACTTAGAGGAGCTCTGCAGATTACACTTAGAGGAGCTCTGCACATACACTTTTTTCCGTTTGGAATTTATTCTTATTTTCATCCTACTTCTTCTTCATTGTCATCTCATCCTCTTCTTCTTATTCTTTCTGTGGATGAGGATGAAGAAGAAGAAGAAGAAGAAGAAGAAGAAGAAGTAGGATTGAATATAAGATTAATTCCATAGCCGGCAAAAAGTGTTATGTGCAGAGCTCCTCTAAGTGTATCTGCAGAGCTCCTCTAAGTGTATCTGCAGTATAGAGGAAAACTCTGCACACTTACACTTTTTGCCGGCTTGGAATTATTCTTCTTTTCATCCTACTTCTTCTTCTTCTTCTTCTTCATCCTCATCCTCAGAAGAAGAGGATGAGGATGAGGAAGAAGAAGAAGAAGAAGAAGAAGAGAAGAAGTATAATGAAAAGAAGAATAATTCCATGCCGGCAAAAAGTGTGTATGTGCAGAGTTCCTCTATTTCTGACAGTTCTCTCACAGCTTCTTCCACATGTACAGCGGTTTTGAAATATCTGTATCCTAAATGGAAACTAATATAGATACAAATTGTATCTATTAGTTTCCATTTAGGATACAAGATGTTTCAACCGCTGTACATGTGAAGAAGCTGTGAGAGAACTGTCAGAAAATAGAGGAACTCTGCACATACACTTTTTGCCGGCTTGGAATTATTCTTCTTTTCATCCTACTTCTTCTTCTTCTTCTTCTTCTTCTTCTTCTTCATCTCATCCTCATCCTCTTTCTTCTGAGGATGAAGAAGAAGAAGAAGTAGGATGAAAAGAAGAATAATTCCAAGACGGCAAAAAAGTGTATGTGCAGAGTTCCTCTATTTTCTGACTAGTTCTTCACAACTTTCTTCACATGTACAGTGGTTGAAACATCTGTATCCTAAATGTAAACTAATAGATACAATGTTTCAACCGCTAAACATGTGTTCCTTCTGTCAGAGAAACTGTCGATCCAGAAATAGCGGAGCTCATCTGCAGGGACACTTTTGCCGGCTGATCGGGAATAAATGTTCGATTCGCGCACCCGAAGTAGGCAAAATTTCGGTTTCGACACGAATCGAATATTTCCTGAAATTCGACTCGAATTCCGGTTCGCCTAGTTCGATTCGCTCATCTCTAATAATAACATTATAATTTGCTTTAGTCAAACGAAGGTTGCTTGACCCATTTCACCACTCAATAAAACACTGAATCTGTTTTGATTGGAAGAGCTAGACTAACACTTTTTTACTTTTACATAGCTTACACATTCAAAATAAAATGTCTCAAAACAACAAATAACTGTGAGCGCCCATTTAACATAAGGTAGCATAAATGTCTGTCCTAACCATAGGTTCAGCCATCTAACTATCCATAGGTCACACCATCCAACAGCCCCCTAACAGCATTAATGAGATAATTATTTAGTTGCTGACAAAGTAAGTCCGGGCAATAAATTTGAGACAAGGACAAGAAAACTGGGTGGATGGGCTTGAACTCCTTCATAAGCGTGCAGAGCTCTCAGGTCGGTTGTAACCACCCCTCGCATGCCATGTACCTTGTCGAGCACTTCTTTAGTTAAAGATATTGAGTTAACTTGAACTTGAGTGTAACCAATAATGCTGAAGTATTATTCAGTAAATTGCCCCCTAAATATGAACCATGCTTCCACCAGTCTAGAAGGACTTATATAAAAAAAACGATAAATATTTATATGTAAAACCTGGCAGCACAGAGCCTACCTATTGCAGAAAACATTCTTGGGATGGTACACATCTTTAAAGCCAAACTTCAGGCAACAGCTAAATATTAAAGGTTACATACATATATGAGGGCCATTTTTCCCATTAAAGGATTTGTATTCATGTCTATCCAGTCCCAAGATATACACAGCTCTGTCACAAAGCAAAGCCCCATCTGGCAGGGGAGAGGACCTGATATTTCACTGCTGCAGTCTCACTTTCAATTGAAGGTCTTGTGGGTTGTCCCAGTCTGTGAAAGGAAAGAAGCAATTGACTTATGAGCTCATCTCTTTTTTTCACATGATTGTTCCTCCTATTAGCATGCACCTTGCACTGCAGCATACCTGACTGGCTCCCACATACTTCTTCATCCTTTCACAGTCTGAGCTCTGATGTATAGTAGATTGCAAGAGGCTGTTACCAAGTTAAATTCAGATACTTACATTGCTGTAATTGACAGCAGTAAACAACAGGAGGAGCATGTAACTGGGTTTCTAAAACGGCCTCTAAAAAGAAAACATTATGGAATAAGAGCAAATTAGGACAATGCCAGAATCTGTAGTTATAATCAGGGCTTTTTTTTCAGCAGGAACGTGGGGGAACGCACTCACTGAATTATGTAAAGACATATGGTAATGGGGTGTGCTGGAGGATCTATAGTTGCTAGGGCTTCAATTGATGTTCAGCAGGATCTCCTGTTGAGGGAGGGGTTGTTGTTGGCTGTGGAGGGTTTAACTGATGTTGGCTGCTTGGAGATCCATTGTGTCTTGTGGGGGGTCTGTTGTTGCTGGGGTGGGATCAATTATTGCTGGGGAGGTATTTGTTGCTGAAAGGGGGGTATTGTTGTTCTCTGCAGGGAATCTATTGTCATTACTAAATCATTATCATTAACAAATTTCATAGATTTTATTTAGCACTACAATAGTGATACTTGGTTCTGTATTCTCTAAAAGGGGTGTGGTACTAAGAGGTGGGTAGAGGGTTGGAACTCAGAAAGGTGCGTAGGGGGCAGAGTCAAGGAGTGACTCAAACGTGGGAGTTCCTGCACCTATTCTCTGAGTGAGAAAAAAAAGCCTTGGCTATAATTATTAACCTGGATTTAAAAACAAACCCATGAATATCAGTTGCTCACTAGAAAGACAAACTGAAATAGAAATAAAAAAGGAAAGCATTGCCAGGACAGCATGCCAGGTGTTGTTTAATGGCGATTTTCACTCTGAGTGGGAAATCTTCAGGAATAAATAACATTGCAATATAAACAATATGCTTCTCTTCACATCCCGACAACTTCCATAATATGTATCATACGTAAACCAATCTGTTAAATACCCAACCTTTAATACCACACAGAAATTATTCC